CCCCCCCCCCCCCCCTTCTTTTTTTAGAGCCATTAATAGCGCAGTGCCCATGTGGCTTTATTGTACCGGGATGTAAACATGTCTGGTGGAATTTACTTTGGAGCCAGCCTCTAGTGGCCAACAGAGGAATTGCAGTTTTTTTGGGGGCATTTTAACATTTGCTTTATTTTGCTTGTCAAATCCAAAAACCACACATTCATGGAGGTGGGGAGGTGCTTGTACAGTAAGACAGCACTCCTCCTGCTAAAATATGCTCTCTCTCTCTCACACTCACACACACACACACACACACACTTAGATATAATTATGCAGGTGTTTCCACACTGTTCAGATGGAATGATTTATTCATAATTATGATAGCATAATAAAACAATGAACATTGAAAGCACTGACAGTTGAACCCAAGGCCTCTCACACACAGCATGCACCACCCCGACCCTAGCATTCACAGAGACACTGAACATCCCTAACGGCAAGTTGCTCCTGGCTTCTGAAAAGCGTCCTTTTTTAACTCTGTCCAAGTCAGTTTTTCCTTGTTCTTTTTTTTTTTTAATCCTTTAAATATATTTTGATATAAAAACAAGCCCACGTATGATGAATCAACCATGTTTGTGAACTGCCTCTCCCCCTTCTTCTCCTGTTATTGCCCTGCCACCCAACCACCCACCTACCGCTCCTCTGGGCGGTCTTTAAGGAAGGATGAACATGACACTGGCCCCCTCCAAGTCTCCTCACTTCCTATTCTCGTGCTCTTCATGGACGCTCGGATTAACAAAGCAAAAACCAAAAAAAAAAAAAGAAAAAAAAAAGTCTGATGTAAAGATGGTGGAGGTGAAGGAGATGCCACTTAAAAAAACCCCAAACAGTTTCATAACCTCTGGAACAAAGAAAGCAATAAAAAAGATTTTGTTTAAAAAATAAAAATTGAAACCATAACAGTCCAATCAAAAGAAGTGTTGGAGGGAAGTCTGGAGCTCTGTAGACTGGAGGCACTTTGGCACAGAGCGAAGGCCCCACACCTGACAACAAGGCCGAGGGAAAGCAAGGAGGGATGCAAGGAAGGAATGACAGAGTTGGGCTGAAAGGCATGCAAAGCCACATGGTGATATGAGAATCTGGGAATGATCGAGTGGGGTGGACTGGAGAAGAAAAGAGCACCTGACAAACGTGGAGGAAAAGGCCAGCCTCCCCTCCAGTTAATGCCATGTTCAGGAGAGGAGGAGGAGGGGAGGAAATACAAAGAAACAAAAGGGAACTTTCACATAGAAGAAGAAGAGCAATTTGGACCAAGTGACAAAGAGAAGGGAGAGTGAGTGAGCAGTGGCAGGTGTAGGAGGAGGAAAGAGAAGCGGCCCATCGCGAGAAGAGGAAATTGTCTGGCAAAAGCTATACAACACAAACAGGAAAACAGTCCTAGTGTGAAAGCAGAGGACGGCTGGTGGACGGTGGAGGTTGGGGGAGGGGGCACAGCGTAGCAGTCCCACAGGTCAAGAGGCTTGGCAGGTAGGAGGAAAGTGCTGTGGTCCCTCTTCTCCTGCTCCTCCTCCCACTTTACAGCTGTGCTGGGCTGCATCTCGCCCCCCGTCCTCTTCCCCCGGTACCCCCCACAAGCACCTCCTCTTCACAGGTAGAGCTCCTTGGCTCTGATATGCTGGAGCTTCTCCCTCAGCATGCGGAAGGAGGGCCGCATCACGGGATCCAAGGTCCAGCACTGCTTCATCAGGTCGTACACCACGGCGGGGCAGCCGTCTGGGGCATCCATCTTGTACCCTTTCTCTACCCGAGGCACCACTTCTTTCAACGGCTGAGAGACACAGACAAAGAAATGCTGACATTAGCTCAACATTTTGATCAGTCAAACTGATGCAATGGACTCAAAGGTGATGCAATATTCCAGGCAAAGGTAACTACATAACAAGAATAACTAAAAATAACTAAAAATGCGAACGTATCAACCGGTGACACATCACCTGCTTCAGTTGTTTCATGGCATGAATGAGGCCAACACAGAGAACCAGCAGTTACACTGATCTTGCACAAAAATAAATAAATGGTTCAGGCAATAAAGCCTGCCATCTGCTGGTGTATGTCAGACGTCAGCGAGCCACAGAAAATCCCATAAAGGTACTTACAATTCTAGGATAAGGCACACGCCCAAAGGAGTAGATCTCCCACAGTAGGATCCCATAACTCCAAACGTCTGACTTAGTGGAAAACCTCTGTTGGATTAAGAGAGAAGCCGAAATTCATACATTATACATAAAGGCATTCAGAAAGCAGATCAGGCTTGCGCCTCCCTCCAGACCAACAAAACCAGGTCGTACAGTACATACACCCCCACGGTGGATTTTAAACCAAACAATCAAGATGTGACTGAAGTGCACACTTTCAACTTTAATTCAAGGGCATTAACAAAAGGACTGCTTAAACTTAAGGAATTGCTGACATTTTTATAGACAGTCCCTCATTTTCATTTTAAATATAAAGATTTCCACTCTATAACTGTCCATTTCCACTGCACTGCTGCCACAGCCATTATATTTTGGTCTGCTGCCTTGACCCTCACATATACACACACACACACACACACACACACACACACACACACACCGTCTGTGTTTTTTTAAACCAACATTAAGATGTTGGCATCAAATTCAGAAACACATTTCTCATTCTCAACATTTTCAGTTAAACTCAGGCCTTAATTCATTAACATTTCAGTGAATTTGTTTACACATTGTCCTAACTTTGTTGGAAATAGAGCTGAATAATTATTTCCCCCCCCCCCCATATTTGCAGCTTGTTCAACAGTCATACACTCTTTGCTGTCAGGCTCTGGGTGCCCAGAGTTACTTTATCTGGGCAGAAATTCTGGGCAGCTTGACAGATGATTCGATTAAGATGTTGAGAAAACCTTTGGGCTTGCTTTTACTCTCCAGCAGGAAAACTGTTTATGAGCCACTAAACACCACTCTTTGTTAAACTGGCCTCTTTAAATACTTTTAGGGCAGACAAACACACTATTAATGAACTTGCTAGACCCGTGATCAAGATTATACCACTATTTAAAAGACTGTCTTGGACTGGCACTCTCATTCAAATAAACTGATATCCTGCAGCCTCCCCTTTTTAAATAAACCGCCCTTATTCAGATCAATTAAGAGTCGAGTCAGCAACATCAACCCTGTCTCATCCCATCACCTTCTCTCTTAGTGCTTCTGGGGATGTCCATTTGACGGGCAGCTTGGCAGTGTCCTGTATGGAGGATGCCTCCTTGGTGAGGCCGAAGTCGCTGACCTTGGCGATGTTATCGTCAGAAACCAGCACATTGCGAGCCGCCAGGTCTCTGTGGACGAAGTTATTGGCCTCCAGGTACTCCATAGCTTCACACACGTCACTGCCAGGAAAGAGGATGAGTGAGAACTGGCTAACTAATATAGGGCAATAGGTGGTTGAGGATTTTACTTTTATCACCTGCCCTTGTCAGGAAAATTAGCTTGGCTAGAGGGAAAACTAAGCCATTATGATTTTCAATTTAGTTTCAGATGTAAATGCTCCAAAATGTTTTTTCACTACTGCAAGTTATTTCAAAACTTACAAGGCTGGCACAGAAAAATGAAACTTCAACTGATTAATTTGAGACAAACATATAATAATGCTCATCTGAAAGCTTACACTCATTCTTTGTACTGATCACAATGGACTTAACTTGCTTTAGATAACAATATTAGCTAGATAATTATTAAATTAAAAGAAATAAGGATGTATGAGTTGCAGCAAACAACGTTCATGTTACTGCTATGACACTTTTCTCCTGAAGTTCAGTAAGAACGCAGAGGGTTAAAGTGGCAGTGATTTAGTTTCAGATCCCGAAAAGAGCAGTTTAAAAATGTTCTTTTAAATAATTTTTTTAATAATTGCTTGAAAGAGACTCACAGTGAGAACTTGAGTAAGCAGTCTCCACCGAGAACAGTCCGCCCTCGAGAGCGCAGGTAGTCCACTAGGCTGCCCTGTGGTGCAGTTTGGATTATTAACACAATGCTTACATTCAAGAAAGTCTCACAGAAAACTGTGTAGGTACATTTTTTAGCATGAATAGCCTGAGTAAAAACCAAATCGACGACCCCGTGCGAAAAAAGAAAACATGTCAAAGTATTTTTTTTAATAAGGGGAAACATTTGTTTCATCTGTACAATAACAAGTGTTTTAAAAATCCATTTGCTGTTTTACATGAGGTCACAGTCGTCATCATTTCTTGGCTTAGAAGCAAATGCCTCCTCTAGTGCACAACCTGTAACCCCCTCTGCAGATGAAACAAACAAGATAGAAATCTTTTTGTACCCGCTGAATGGGGTCAGGTCAGGTGTTTTCCAGTGTCTCCTGTCTTTATGCTAAGCAAGGCTAACAACTGTTTCATTAGCGTGGTTTTGACTGTGTTTTATTCTCCTAATGTACTGAACTAGCGTTTAAATCGCAGAGGGTTAATGCGAGCATGTACCATTTCCAGTTTTAGAACTTGTCATAAAAGAGCACTTGGGCTGACCTTAGCCATGTATTCTGTGACGATGTAGAGACTGCCCCTCTCCTCCACGATTACCCCTAGCAACTGCACCAGGTTGTTGTGCCTCAGTTGCCTGTCGAAACACAGAAACAGAGGGGGAAAAAATATGCGGTAAGCATGCAGTAAAATATTTTTTAAAAATCATGGTCAACTTCTACCCACAAAAATGACAGAGGATGATCTAATATTTGATGAAGAAACATGTCTGCAGACAGAAACATCTGTGGTGGTGTGAAGTACAAAAAGCAATAGCTGCGGATCTTACGTCATGACAGAAGCCTCAGCGATGAAAGCCTGTGCTGTAGCGTCATTTTTGATGCACTTGACTGCCACCTTGGTCCCTCTGTAGTCTCCTACCATCACATCTGACAAGGACACAGAGGGGACAAAGTTTTACTACATTCTCCAAGGTGACTTGGCCTGATGTGAGAAATGAAAATGAAATATGAAAATATCCTGTTTAAATTTGCTTCTTACCCCCAAACTCCCCTTTGCCAATGGTCTGGAGGAGTTTCAACTCTTTTCTGTTCAAGGCCCAGCCACCTGCCAAAAGAGGACGTTAATGACACTCTGCAATCATAATGTAGGTAATAATATTATTCCAATAAGGCGTTATGAAAAAAATCCTCTTACAGCACGTTCATGACTTTGCAGTTACAGCAGCTATTTTCTTGTTAAAATAACTTTGACGATGATGTATATCCTTTAAGCAGGAGAATTAATCTTTGCATTTCTCTAGTGTAAGAATTAGCCGGGTCAGATGGGTATGTGAGGGTAAATAAAGACAGACAGAGCTGGAGATTGACCTTGAGAGCCGGTGAAGCCCAGCAGTCGTTCCCAGCCACACAAAGATTAACCACCCTCAGTTGATTAATGCTATTAAAGCTCGTAGGAGACGCAGGATTTCTCTGTACACTGTGTGTGTGTGTTCATGCATCTGATACTGTGAGGTTAATGTGGCATATAAAGACAAGCATAACAAAGTGTCCCTGTGTGTATTGGTGCCAGTGTCCCTGTAGGGCTGTGTAATGAGCTCTGTGTGCTCTTACTCCTAGAGAATTCGTCTTGCGCTGCCACGGTTCCCTCCATCAACTTCGGTTTAATCAGCCTGGTACAAAGGCCATCAGCGTCTTTGGTGTAGTGCTGGAGAGAGAAAGTTTGAGAATTAAATACAATCTCCATGCATAAAGAAAAAAAAAAAAAGTATGTATGCTTCAAGTGTTAAAAGTTACAAAGAAATTCCTCTCTCAAAAGGTTTTCCCTGAATTTAGGTCAGCAGTATATACTGTACTGTGCCACTGTACCTAGCTGAATGATCCGATACGGATGTTCTTGGATTACTTCATACTGTTGAGTCTATATACAAGCTTTTGATATGCAAAACAAAAGCGAGGCTGATGTTCGGGGCCACCCTCTGCAGAAAAATGTGACGGTAGCGATGAAAAGAAGATTCAAAGCTGTGTTGTCAGATTTTATGAGAGGAGGCTCCATCCACCAAACAGGTACAGCATGACAGGTTTACCTTTTATCAACATGCATCTTTGTTAAAGACGAGGAGGCTCGTCTTGAGGGACGACAGAATCCCGGCCTCATTTCCATATGAAAGATGGAATAAAACAGGAGCAGCAAAGTTGGGAGGATTTACAGCAGAGTACAAAGCGAGAAAACACAGTAAGGTGTTCGCCTGAAGTTTAAGGGCTGCTTCTGCTGCTCTGTAAAATTTAACTCCAGCTCCAGTCAGAAGTACTCTATTAAAGCAGTGTGTGTTTCTAATCAGCTCCAGTTACAAAAGACATGAGTACATTTTCAGATTTGCCCTTTTTTCCAGCTCTAAAACAAACCAAAAAAATCCACCAGAATAAAGTTTTATTACTTTAAAAGCTCTATTTTTTTCCTTTAAATTCGTGTAGTTGAAGAGACAGCTGTTCCACTATGTCTAAACTTACTAAAGGTCTTTTATGTGTCTTTCACTGCATTTCCATTTGAAATGATTCCTACTCATGTTACACAGAGACTCATCCACTGTGTAAAACATTTTAGCTTCCTTCCCTTTAGGACAGATTTCTTTTGATTGGCTGTCCTTTGGTAAAGTTTGTGGGTGGGTCTCCTATGCTCACAGCCTGAGTTGCGTGTCTGAGATGACCAAATTATGGATATCAGCCCTTACTGACATCATGCAGACCCATTAGTAGACTTGTTTGTTACTGGAAACTTTGAACATGTTTAATATGATATGAGCATCCACCATTGTAAAACAAAATAAGAAAAAGCATAAGGTGTAGTCTCTTTAAGCTACTTCAGATGTGGACAGATCAAGGGACAACAATACGGAGGGCAAGTCACTTATAAAATTACATCCCCTGCAGCTTTGGCTACTATATAAAATGCTTAAATAATCACTACACTACAGAAAAGTAACTATCAACAGAAGTCAGTTAAAAAACAAACAAAGAAAAAACACAAAGGAATAAAAATCTACACTTTAAAGTCAGACACACTGTGATGAAAAGATCACACTTGGGAAATGTTTAAACCTCTGCTGGACACTGTCAGTATTAGTGTAAAGGTGAGGTTCCTGGGGAGCATTTACTGTGGGAACAAGGAGGAGGGTGAGAGGGCTGGTGCATTTGCACCAAGCTGACAATACAGGGATGACTCGTCTACCTACAGAGAGCTCTGCTGTCAGATGGAGGCAGCGTGCAAAGTATGTGGTACAACCGGTCTTTGGGCCACTCTGGCATGTACTGTTGTTGGTCTGTCTGCCAGCCACGGAGAAGAGTGAGGTTATAACATATAAACAGCTGAAGTGACAATGACAGTGACAAGTGTCCACTGCAGCTGCTGTCTCTACTTTTTATACTGTATTTCTGATCTTTTAAGATTTTTTTCCACAATCCTCTCATTCAAGATGAACTCTTCTGTCACTCCCTTCCCTATTCTGGCCCACTTGTCAACCAATCGCCTTTCAGCAGACGCATACATCATCTGCTTCCAGCGATGTGCAGATAGGTTTTGGAAGACTGCATGGCAGCAGACCTGACATGGGTGAAAACGCCTCTCTGCTGTCTGTCCAAATGGAAACGTGTATGCAGACACATTTGTGGGACCATATTACACTTTACAGTTCATCCTTATAAAGACAACAAAATAATCTAATCCCAGTCCATATCTGCTTATCAATTTAGGATATTATTACAAAGGCAAGGACGCCGTTTGTCACGGCAAGTAAAGAAATAAAGACCATCTGCGTTGAATTGCAAAGGCAAAAAAAAAAATAAAATCATGTGAAAAGAAATCAGTGCCTCCTTAAGTGATAGCAGAAGTTACATAAATCATGAAACCTCTTTGTGACCACTGTTACACAACTGTGGACTGATGTGATGACTATAGACTGTAAGATATGATTATAACCACCAGGGGGCAGCATGGTGAAGGAAGGCTGAAGACAAATTAACTGCACATGTAAAATAGCCACAGTTATACACAAATGATGCATTTAGATTATGTATAGCATTTATCAGGTCATTATTTATCATTTCTGAAGCGTTGCCTATATGATCTTGAAAAAGACAGCCCTGAACGGACCTTAATTAGCATTGCTTATGTAACAAATAATCACTGAAATGCAATCTTAGAATGCATGACAATGTGTTTTTAGAGCACAAGTGGCTAAATCACAATCTTCCCATGTGTAATTAGCAGAGAAAGGTGTGATCACAGAGTTGAAACAGCCAGTGAGCACCCTAACAGACAATACTTTGACTGTGCAACTACACCCCTAAAAATACCATATGGAGCGAGCTTTGCTTTTGTTTTTGTTTTGTTTTGTTATTTTTAAAAACCACATGCATCAGAGGATGCACTGACTGAAGACAGAGGTCTGCCAGCATTTGATGTGTAGGTCTATATGAAGAATAACAGAGCAGAGGAACACCGAGCGAGCCGGAAAAACACACAAGAATGTAAGGAATTCTATCATGCGCAATTATAGAGAAAGAAGAGACAAGGGAATGCAGACAGGCTACAGAATAAAGATGTAAAGAGATACCGAAAGAAAGAAACATAGCAGGGTAAAGCAGGGAGACGGAGACAGTGGAGGGCGAAAGGAAGATACGGAGATGAGAGGAGGAGGAGGACAGAAAGCAATATGCCAGGTATCCACCAGGGAACACAAAGAGAGAAAGAAAGGAGGGAGGGAGGGAGGGAGGTGGAGAAAGGAAGTAGAGGCTGAACTGAGCCCGGAGGGTGAGTGTGTGTTGGAGAGTGTGTGTGAGAGAGAGAGATTGTGGGTGGCTGATAACAAGAATGCGCTGGGGATGTAGATGGTCTCGTTGCCAGCTGGCACATTCCTGCCTGTCCACTTCCAACACCCCACAAGGCAAAAAAGATGAGGCCCAATTAAAAGTGTGATAGCTGCCAATCCAGCTCTTCTCTTTATCTAAGAGGATGAAAGGCCTTTATCTCGCTCCCTCTCCGTTTCTATCATCATGTCTCCCCGTCTTCCCCTTTCCACACTCCGTCCTTCCTCTGAACCAGCTTACAGAGAGCAGTCAGGGAGTGAGAGGATCAGACAGCTTTTTGAAGGATACGTACTTGAGTCAGAGTTTTGGGAGAAGTCCACAGAGATATTCAGCATGTGTGTCCTTTACAGAGTTATGTAATCAAACTGCTGCATCATTTATCACCGTATAACTAAGACAACTTATTTCTATTAGCTGTCGTGCCGTGCAGTTTAGAAGATGGATTCCAATTGTTTACTCCTAATAAAAAAACAAAACAACTTTTTTGTTGATTCAAACAGGTTTACATTTTCCTTTTTACCAAACAAATACAAAATAATCAATAACCAAAGACTGCAGGTGTAATGTAAGATAATCAGCTTTTAATGCAACTGACTGACTGTCACAAATGCTAGGGGAATGTGATGGGATCATTGTGTGACCTAATGGACAATGAGATACAATATTTAACTGTAGAAAATACGTGATGTAAGAGGCTTTTAGCTCTGTAATAGACTAGAAACAGGTCTCTTGTACAGTGTTAACTGTGTTAAGATCTAAAACACCTTTGATAGACAGACGAAGCATATCTGAGAGGATGAACAGTTGGCCTGAAACAAACAGAAATATAAATTCTCATAGGAATTATATAACAACCTTTTAAGGGGAAAACAAAAAAACCCAAAACAAAACAAGTAGGTTTGTTTTCCTGCTGCTCTTCAGTTTTACTGAAGAAACTCTGCTTGTTTCGGCTGCTCCCTTATTCACAAGGGGTCACCACAGCAGATGTAGCACATGTTTGATTTGGCAGATTTTTTCCACCAGATGACCTTCCTAACGCAACCCTCCCACAGGAGGAGATTTAGTTCCTCTCCTGGTCTCAAACTGGGATCTTTCATGTGTCAGGCACATGTGTTAGTTGCTAAACTATGGCGCCACCCTTTCTGAAGAAACCCTAAGATGGAATAAACTTTGTAAAATCACCAACTTTTTTACTGTAACAGTTATTTTAAGGATCGATACTACTTAATTTGAGCTACCTAAATAAAATGTAGCCTAACTCTCTGTGACCTTCAGGATAGAGGAAGTATGCACTGGAACATTAAAACAAGGTGACATTTAAAGTTTCATTTTCTTACAAATCGCTCTCTTTGACGTTCAGTTAAATGCCTCAAGTCTTTCGGCTCTTAAAAACAAAAACCAGCTGGAAATGATGATGATGATGATTATGAGAAGGCATTCATCGTTTTTTTACTGCCAAACTGAATGCCAGTAGTACTATTAAAGGTGTTCTGTCAACAAAATTAGACTACAAATAACAGCTATATGCTCTCCATCCTTCCTCACCTCCACCAGCTGCATGAGGTTCTCAAAATACTCTTCCTCGTCGATGGTGAGTTTGCCGTTGTGGTAGATGATGCGGTAGTGCTCCACCTTGCCATCACAGCTGACACACAGGGTGTAATCTCCAGGATAGTTGGTGCTTTCCCTCACCAGGAATAAACCCGTCTCTGGAGGGTAGAGGAGCCGCTCGGCCTGCTCCCGAGTTATCTTCCCATGAAACCAGCTGGAGAGAGAGAAGAGAGGGGTGGGAATGAAGGACGTGAGGAGACAAAGAGGGAAGAGGGAGAGAGAGTATGTCAGACAAAAAGGACACACAGGATTGACTGGAAGTGTTTTATGGCCGCGCACAGAGTGTTTATGTAACAATGACGTTGTTTGATCTATGTACAGAAACTCAACTTGTGCCGTTTTTTAAGAATATTTCTCCAAAAAGAGAGAGAGAAGAAAACAACTAAATTTCAACCATACAGAGGTACCAAATTCCATGTATCATGGCCCACAGCCTTCCTCTGAAATGAGAAGTGAAAAACAAGAGGGGAGCAGTAATGGGAAGCCGACAGCAGCACTTCCACCCTGTTCAGCTTGAATGGTGCAGGGGCGAGGCTGTCTGATCTTGGGGAGTCAGTGAAAAAGTACCTGAACCCAAACAACAGGAAACATGGTGCTAAAACGCGCACACGCATGCATGCGCACACACACATACACAAAGCCTGGGGCAGAGTCGGAAACTGACATACAGGCACTGCAATAACAGGAAAATGCAAAAGCTGCTCAGACAAGGCGGGGAGCAGGATAAAACCAAGTCACCCATTCCCGACTGCGGTCAGAGAGACCAAGAGACGGATTGAACTTTCACCACCCGCTGTAGCGAAAAGGAGGGAGATCAAAAACAAACTCCACCTCCTGTTAAGTTAAAAAGCCGATCACAATTCTGTTGGTTGTGGCAGAAAAGAAACGCTTGCTTCCTGATTTAGAAGCTAACTGTTACACAACGAGCATCAACCTCGCCATATGGCTTGATAGGAGGCATCTATATGCTACTGAAGGACGGATTAGACAGCAAGATCACACACTTTGATCTACTCAACCACCATCTTTACAATCATCTGTTACAAAAACAGAATTTTTTCACACTGCTGTTGCTTTTCAATGGTAATGCATCCTCCGTCGAGCTTAAATGGTAAATGTTTTTTTTAATCTTTGTTAGATACATTTCAGTTTCCTACAACAAAAGCTAACACCCTATTTCAGTATTCTGAATTTCCTTCCATTCATGGCTATTGATCTGTGGTATTAAGCATAAACACAGGGGGGTATCCCATGTACCCTGCTGATTTCTGCCACTATTTGTATGAAAGGTCACATTAGCCACTAAGAATTGCAAAGGACAAAGTCTCCTTATCGGCACTGGCTGGTCAATGGGTGGTAATTAACAACTATGAATGATTTAGCCCACTTTCCTGTGGCTGCCTCTGTCACGCCCTCCTCCTCTTCAATCACTCCACTTGGTCTCCTCAGACAGCAGAGTCCCTTGTGGTAAAGCTGCTTAACATGGCTCGAGTTGATTAGATCAGAATAGGGAGCTTCTCCGATGGAGAGAAGCTCTTTAACTCCCAATAATCCGAGAGCAGGCGCCAAGAGTGGATGGCCCCAGTAACACAAAGCCCAGTGGTAGACACACACTCGGTCCTTTGTCTCCAGAAATTAACCGCAGTTTTTAGAAATGACATCATATTGAAATAAAAGTGAACAACATGTTCAGCACAACTTGGAAGGAATGAGTAGGACAGCGCAGATGAATACGCCAGCTTTCTTTAGGGTGGTTTGGTTACATGGGTCAGATATCTGCCACATGAGGGCAGTAGATGGAGCAGAGTCAAGTAAAGGAGGCAAGCGCTGTATCTACAGCCGAGTATCAACCGATACGGGTGAACGTTAAAGCAGAAAACCACAGATGAACCCTTACGTAACCCAGAAGAGAGGGAGAGGTCCTCTCCGAGACATTTGCTGATGATTCATAAAAAACCCAAAAGTCCCCGCAGGATACAGAGAAACGACTTCTGATGACTTGAGTTTAAAAACACTGAACTATGCTGTGATCTCAAAGGCAGCAATTGGAGCAGAAGGTCAGGATGTGAAAGCATGCTGAATATTTGGGAGTCAAAGAGCAGTGAGTTAGTTTCATAGCACCCTCTTCTTCTTTCCTCCTTTCTTTTAGAAAAGCAACTCTGAGAAGGACATTTGGTTATGGCTGAAAACAAGTTTCATTAAATTCATTCTGAGCTACAGATTAATTACAGCTATTCCCCACGTTAGCCTTTAATAATCAGTGTTGTTGTGTGCACATAAATCCCTTATAGCTGCACAAGGCTCATTTTAAGTTACTGCACCACCGGGCCTCCTAATATCACACACAAAACATGCCTGAGCTGAATGACACAGTAACCGAATTTAAAATGGTGTGAACAGACGGTATGAGGTGGCAAATAGAGAGGTCAACGCTTTCAGCAGCAGTTGATGAAGGGAGACAAAGAGGGTCAAAAGTCTATATAAATGTTTCCTGCCAACATTTTAAGAACATATCACTAAGAATAGTTTGAGCTACACATGCAATGCTGACAAGACTGCATTTCACTTTCTATCCGCAGCTGACACCTTTATTGTGTTAATGATTTCCTTCTAGGAGCACGAGAAGAGTTCATTGTTGCTGCACGAGGTTTGAAAGGTACAAGGAAATAAATGAGCAGCTTATGTATATAACTCCTTACTGTCAAAGAAAATTAGATACTTCCAATACTGGAAACACTGAGAAACTGAAATACAATCTGTACTTCATCTTTGACTTAATTAACTTAACTATGCCCATTACAAAAAACCACAACTTTGAGGTCCAACTTACCATTCTCTTCTTGTAATTCATGTACTTCCTACTGAAATTAAGAACTTTCTTTTGCTTTGCAAAGTTTTAAGACTTGTTTATTACCATCTCAAGAGTAAACACAAATGGTCTGGCAGCTCTCACAGCTTTCAACATCTTATAGCTCATAGCTCGGTTGCAGCAGCTCGGCTTTCCTGTCTCCTTTCATTTGAATATGCCTCTCGTTATGTTTTCCTCGTTTTGAATAGCTGCATTTTCAAAGAGCCCGAAATGTCACTCAAATCTAGTGCACAGCTGGCTGTAGCCTCTATGGGTGTCTGACACAGACAACAGAAGACAGGGAATTTTCATCTTTTGAAGTCAAGACTAATTTCTCCCTCTCACAGCAGGAGACAAAAGTGAATCGGGCTATAACAACTTGTTCATACATAAAGATGTCTGAGATACAAGACACAGACCATTAGTATTTTGATTATAACTGTATTCTGTCGCAATCCTGGAGAACTTTGGTAGTTTCCTAAAATGTTATTTCAGAATGAAACAGTTCTGCGATCCTACAAAAAAAATAATAAAAAAAAATAAATGCATTTTATCCTCTTACATTGCATTAAAAAAAATGTTTGTATGGTCTTAAAAATAAATGCAAAACACCACAAACACACAGACATGACAGTTTAACTGGGATTATCCATTCTAGTACTCACGGCATAAGACTGAGTTTCCCTCCTGACTTGACGCCTTCCCTTTTCTGGACATAGTTAGCTGGGATGGTGCCCTCTCTGCCCACCTGGTTCCTTGCTCTGTACCAGTTTGGATCCTGAAACAGTCGAACACACCACAACACAGCTGAAATACCATAACTAAGGCGGGGTACCATTTTTATACCAAGTCATTTTGTAGGTAAGGAACACTTCTGTACCTTAGAGATAACACAACACAGAAAGACACAGTGGAGAATAAAAGCCAAAATCCACTTCAGCCCCATCAGATATTTGTGGGCACAAGCTGTTGCATCAACAGAAACCAGCGAGTGCCTCTAGCTAAAAGGAAACCCACCAACTGAAGCAATAAAGCTGTTTGATAGGATTAAGTTCACTGAAGCTTTTTAAAAGCTGATATACTTTTTTTTTAATGTAGCTCTTTATTTGTCTTGTCACTTGTCATACAAATGAATGAACTAACTACTTTGTTAGGGACAAAACTTTTGGTTGTCTTGTCTTCTGACTTAAAGTACAAAAAACTAGGATTGTCTCATGAAATACTGCACAAAATACTGTTATAGGTACTGTTGCTGACATTTCAAGAATGAAGAAAAATCCATGTCCTTTTACATCTCTGCATACATCTGTATATTGTTTTTAACATACAGAGAACATTTTACAAGTCCAATCATTGGTGAACAATCCCAAAAAAAAAACAACCCTATTAACTGTGAAAACCCATGAAGAAACAGAAACAGCTTAAACAGTAACTCATTCACTGAATAATAATTGCTAGGATGGCAGCTCTGTGGGTTTAGTTAGAACAACCATATTCAAGGCACTTGTTTTCTTACCCTGGTGACTCCGATGATGGTCAGTACGTCTCCTTTACAGAAGGGTAAGTCCTGTTCATTGGCAGTCTGAAAGTTATACTTGGCTACACACTCTGTGCCAGTCGACCATGGTACCTAGATTATAGAAAACACAGAGGAACCAACATTATCTAGAGGTGTAACTCATAAGGAGCTAAATGAAGCAAATTACAGAACACAATAAAAGAGTTTAGAGGTGGAGAGGCAATTGGGGAGGGCGAGAACAAGTCCTAATCACAGTGTTATGAGACTAGGATCCACTTATTAAAACCAAAGCCTGCCAGCATTACAGTCCTTATTCTGAATGTTTCTTTAGAGAGTTTACTCTTCTTCTTATGTTGTTTGTTTTCCCTTTTCAAATCTTTCAGGACCGTGTTAAATCTGTTCAAATCCAATAAGGCCTCAACAAATAAAATCGTAAGTAACACTTTTTGCAGTAGTTTCCTGGTGCAGTACAGGAAGTATGAACATTAACCTAGCAAGTAATTTTCTTCCCCATGTTTAGAGAAACTGGAGCTTTCATGGAAACTTGGGAGATTACTGTGCTAAACACTGAGCCACTGTTCAGTCATTAAAAGAGTTTATTAATCTAAAATAAAAATTAAACGTTAAATGTTGTGCAATTTGTCTGGGCTGAGCTGTGCTCGATATTGCACACTTGAAAGGCAGAGATAATGCACCCCAAGGTAGTTATTTGAATCTTGACAAAAATGTTAAGACTGCAATAACATATCAGATAGAAGCAGTAACTGTATAAAGCAGCAACTTTATTTGTGTAATGGTAGTACCCTCCCCATGAATCACAGGCATAAAACCCTATATAACACCTAAGTGTCTAAAGCCAAAATGTGTTTCTGCTTTGATATCCAAATAAGCATTTTTCTGGATGATCTGCTAAAAGGAAATAAAAGGGACCTATGACACTCATTTCGAGTTCCAAATTTGAATTCTTGGAATCAAAAGTAGCTTTGGATGATCAGTCCATGTTTACATTACACTGGGCCTCACTGCAGCCTTTCATATATAAAAATTATATATGAAAAATGACAACAGATCTTCTCTAAATACATTTCTCTTTTAGATTGCCAATTGACATCAGCTTGATAAACATGTCTACCATTAAAAAGCATTTAGATGTGTAATTTAAAGGAAATTTCACCATTTAATCGCATAAATTTAACTAGTGTTGAGATGGGAGTTGTTGACCGTTTCAAGCTACTGAAACAAGCATGGAGGACATTTAAATTCAAGAATCTCATTTCAAACTTGATATTTTTCCATTTTCAGACATTTAGAGTTCAGTTACCACTCCATGGGTTAATTTTGTTTATGCTTGTAAAACAAAAACCGGATGAGGCAGGTCTCCTTCCTAGATAACAAATAGTAGGTTTATTAAATCTGCTGACCTCAGCTTATTCCCAGCATAGCCCTGTCAAACCTGTACCTGCTTAGAGATAAAATAACCCTGCGAGAAAAAAATAAATACCTGTGTATGTGTGTACCCAAAACAATGTGCTTTCAGTGAGAATTATTGCCTGTTCACTCCACTGCAGTGACTTTGAACCTCAGCTAAAGCTCTGCCATATAGTTTCACTCACTATCAATCTTGACTTGTCTAAAAGCCACAGCTGCAAGAATCACATATAAATGACAGAAAAGAAGGGAAAACAGAGCATTCAGCTCGCACTGTTAGATCAGCAAAGCGGTATGATCACTATCATGCCTCAATAACGTGAAATGACAAAGCCAGAGAACAAAGCAGCAGGTGTGAGTGAGCGAGTAGAGCCCTTGAACAAGCTGCTTTATTTGCAGTGGAGGCTGTGAATGTGTCTATCGCAGTCAATAGAGCGTTACGAGTTTGATGGCTGCCGTGACACAGAAAACCCCCCAAAAACCATTGCATCTCCCATAGCCTTCATTTCCATGTGGTCACATCAAGAAAAGAACTTTATTAAACTGAGGCTCTGCTAGACCTAATGTGTCATTGGGGGAAATTTCCTTGCGGCTCTTAAGTAATTTAAGACATAGCCTCATGCAACACACAAAACAGCTGGGGAAGAAAACTACGGCTAAATTTAACACCAAGTTGCGTTCATATATTTTTAACAGCAGCATGTTTTCCTTGTGTTGTTTCCTAAGAGGGAAGCGCTCGAGAAGAGGATGTAGATCATCCACCTCGAATTCACCTCTTGGGCGATATACAAGTCAGTTTATTGTATTTGCTTACTCCACCTCTACAGTCCCCACCCCCCCATCCTTACATTGTCAATCTTTACATTTATACTTCTGCAAAGCTTTGAATTTTGATGCTTAAATATCTAGAATAATGAAACTATTATTAGCTACAACTTGGACTGATTGAGAAAACATTAAAAAAAAGCTAATAAGTGCAAAAAAGCATAATCAGCTAGATTTCATTCATCTGATGCAATTATATTTCACAAGATGGTTACATATTTAAAGCGTTAAGCAAAATGCAATTCTTAATCTTCCTAAATAAAATTCTACTATTTAAATATTGACAAGAAAAAGAGAAGTTAAAAGTAGTTGTCAGTATAACTCAGATACGTGCAATTTGAACTTCCAGCTTTGTGCTAATAGGAAGCTTCAGTTTACGATTAGACAGAATATAGAAGGAGGATCAAACAAAAGTTAAAGTCTTGAAGTTTTAAAAAGTGCTGTGATCACAGCATCAAGAAACCTCTGGCAGATCAAGGAGGAGTATGCTACAGTGTTGTCTTAATCTAGAGAGAGAGATGCTTGTCATCCACATTAAACAACATTAACAAAACCAGACAACTGTTGCTTGGACATATTAACCTCCAGAGGGCAAACGTAATGCAGCAACTGAAGACGTGAGGAAACTTTTCTATCTTTACAGAAAGGCATTATTAATTTAATGATTTGTAAACAAAACCACGGGAACTTATTTGGAAGAGTTGCACATGTATTTATATCTAAAGTAAGAATAGTGCTGTTGGAAGATCAGATGTCTGTATTGGTGGTATTTCACAATGTTATGCTAGCAGCTTTTCTTTGTGTGGTTACATTAGTTTTTGACTGAACTGCAACCTGTGGGCCAGCTGCTTGATGTGACAGAAAAGCTCAGACGATTATGATGTGTCATCGTTATGTTCACTTTAAGACTTGTTGGGAAGCCTTTACTGCACTCTGTTACATAATGTGCTCTTGTCAGCGTGATTAATATTATTTCACTTCATCTATCTTGTCAGCTCCACTCTACATGTGATGCACGTGTGAGTGAGCGCAGGTGCACTCAGTGAGAGCAGGGTAAAAAGAAACTATGGCAATCATAAATGACAGTAGTACGCAGTGAAGACTCGCTGCACTGAACTGAGAGTAGAGCAAATAAATGGGGTCAACCATTGTTTCTCATTTTTATTCACCTAAAATTTACTAAAGAAAAATACCAGTTCATTAAATTGGATAAATGTATCTGACAAATTTTATTTTTAAAAGTTGGGAAAGCAGTTTTTAACTGAAACCTGATATTGCCCGATACATAAAATAAAAAAAGGTCTCTTCCTCAGGAGTGTACAGTGTATTAATGTAAAACTGGTATTGGGGTGATACCAGCAGATACCCAAAACAAATGTATTAGATTCATAACTGGGAAAAGAGTTAGATCTAAAGCTTTTATAGACTTTGTAACCATCCAGAACAACTAAAACATGCTAATGAGAGAATCTTGAGTTTTCATTTCAAACAGATTCTTTGAAATATAGAGAGGAAGAGGATTTTTAATTCTATTACACGTGGACACAAAAAGTGTGCAAGCAAAGGTGGAAAAAAGCAATATGTTCTTCACTTACATGGATCCCAGACATGATGAAGGGAATTTGGCAGCAGGTGTCCTCAGGCAGGTAGCGGTCACTGTTCAGCTAGTACCATGAGAGCTGTAAGACATAAAGATAAAGGCATTAGAAAGACAACAAATGTATTATATAAAAACTGCTGAATGATCACAGTGTATGTCATAACAATAAGAACACAAACAGCCACAAAAGCAAGTCACAAGCATATCTCACTGGCTGGTTAATCAGCCCAAATGAAACAGTTCCAACAACTCTAGCACTGATCTGATCACTCTACAGCTAGCATGGCTGACAGATTAGTGGATGGTGTCTGCTACAAAGTGTTAGTAGAGATTAGGGCAAATGTGATTTAAATAATAAAAAAAAAAAAAAAGGATTAAAATAACGTAAAACGCCAATCTATCCATTCTCTTATAGAGAACAGGACACACTGGACAGGTCATCAATCCATCGCAGGGTTAATATGAACAGACAACCACTCATGCTCACGTCTGACCAACTTAGAAATGCCAATTTACCTAACCCATGGATGCCTTTGGACTGTTGGAGGAAGTCAGAGTATCTGGGGAGAACTCTTGTAAACATGGAGAGGACATGCAAAGTCAACACACAAAGGCTTCGGTTAATTCAAACCCAGAACCCACTGCCGCTTTAAGACAATAACCAAATGCAATCATTGCACAGTAGCAATCATAAGTTTACTTACTGTCTAAAAAAAAGAAAGCATTTTATTAAAGTGCTTAACTGCCACTAGAGCAGGGCGATATGACCAAAAATATTTATCACGATATACATTTGAGAATTTGCGATAACGATATAACTGACGATATAATTGACACTAGACAAAATACTTTACAACTCCACAACTTTATTAGTGCAAAAACCCCCCCAAAAAACGATCAAAGTATTTTCACTTAAACGAGCAGGTGTTTTTTATGTGCATTAAAGTTAAATAAAAAATTTAACAGTGCAAATGCAAATTCCTTGCTGACAGTTGAACCAAAAGGCATTTCCAGTTGAAATTGGCCGACATATCCTCAACATAACCATGTATAATATCCACAGAACTTAAAAAGAGGTTATACACGCACAACACGGTAATATTATGTTGAAGCACAGTATGTATCACTCTGCGAGGCTCCTGCCTAATATAGCCGTAATGCTCCGACAATCCATCAAGCTGTGCGGGTTCGTAGTTTAGCAAAGTCGTACTAAAAGATTTGACAGATTTTCGAGTGCTGTGTACCACATAAAATCGTTTCGAGGTCAGTAAACACAACCAGAATTCATACATAAGGCACACGGGATTATAAAGGGCACTGTCGATTTTCAGAAAAATCAAAGGATTGATTTTAAGTGTGCCGTATTTTCCAAAAAACACGGTAATAACGACGGCCCGCTAGCATGCTCTACCAAAAATAGTGCTGGTCAAACCAGTTCCACACCACTGAAGTTGCAGCATTTTTAAAAACCAATTCTGATTCATCCGTTTCATTCAACGATCCGCTTTCGCCCTTCTCATTCTCCGCCATGCTTTTTCCACCATGTGCATATGAAAACAAAGGCACTGTGCATGTGCGTTTTACCCATATCCTATCGCGATATTTCATTTTCTTATCGTTGCCGAACATTATACCGGTATTACCGTGAAAGGTATGATATGGCCCAGCCCTAACTGCCACATTGCATTTTAAAAGATTACTTTTTTAATTTTCTACTGCACAAAGTCTTACACAACACAGCGTTGTTATAATGAAGCAGAAGTAACACTAGGTGCAGGTCTCTCACGGTAGGCTCCATTCAAGCATCTTACTTCCGTCCAGTCCAGAAAACAGCAAGTTGAAACAGGGAGGGTGGAGCGTAAGTAGGAGGAAGTTGCTGACGAACAGTTTCCAGTGGTTCTTATGGAGGCAGGAAAGGGCTGTATTTGGATACCAATGTGAACATGTCTACACTGTTGATCTTTAGACTAATTTTAAATGGTCTAAACCTAACTTTAAAATAAAATCAATTTAAAAGAGGTCAGTACTGGGGGAAAAACAAAAACAACAACAACAACAACAAAAAACCCTTCAAATTGGACCGTGACTTGTTCTATGTATTGTAGATGGCCTTGATGAAAAACAACCTACAGCTTTCACTTGGATTATATTTCACTGAGCATAAGCAGGCGATTCCCCCAACTTATGAAATAACAGAGCTCTGTGTAATTTTAGATCCATGAATATGATGCATCTCCTTCAAAGAGCCTGGCATTCTCCCTAAGAGCATCTATAGCAAAGCTTCACAGCCCTACCATATCCTGTGTTGAAACAGGAAACAGCCTAATTGCAGACCACTGCAGAGCAGTATGCAAACTGACAGAGCCAAATATATCCAAGGCCAGGCTGCTCCTGTGAACCCAGAGGGTACTTCTTTTCCCTTTACCATTCTTTACATCTAAAGCAACCCTGCTGGAACAGAGCAGCCACACTTGCTAGTCAATGGAAAGGAGACAAGTGAGTGCTATTCTTATCTTGCTCCAGCGCTGAGGAATAGCTGCAAGCTATTCAAGAGCTTCAACATTTCACTGATCACATCACTCTCCATAAGTTCATCAAGTGGTCCTCAATAAGGGCCTCTGTCTTTGTCAATTCAATTTTCTACTGAAAACATTTGAGCAATAACACCAACACTTTGTCCCACAGAGCAGACTATATATTTCTAACACACATACCTGCATCAACATACATGTTTGATACTGGGAAAGGCAGTCCAGAGAGTGCAATTATACTGTACAGTATTCTTGCCGAGTATCTGTGTAAAAGCCCAAGACTGTGCTCAGTCTGACAATGGCATCCGATTTAAAAACAAGACAAAAACAAAAACATAGGTAAGTGTGCTTGAGTAAGCAGCTACAATTTCTGGCACAGTGTGACGATTTATCAGATGTCAAGACACGGAACATCTTCGATTCCTCTGAAACAGGATTTTTGATTAACATAGTACTACTTTGTGCAAGAAATTCTACCTGGTGCGTGCCCTTGTATCGAGTGGACTGGATAAAAAGCCAATGTGTTCATGTGCTGTGGAACCAGAGAAAGCCAATCCAAAACAGAAAACCAAACACACTTGAAATTTGTGTTAAATTAATTTAGCAAGACAGTATACACAATACATTTATAAATTTAAAGTTTAAGTGAGTTAAACAATTCCCGGTGAATATTACTTTTTTTTTTTCCTTGCTTTTATTTTTGCTTAAAATGTTTATCTATAACAGACTAGCCTAGGAATGTGAACCTTCAGTTTTCCTTTAGCCTGATGTAAATATGAACCATGATCCTGGCCAGATGAGCAATAAGCACAAACAACAAAATCTTGTAAAGAGAAATGGTTCAAGTGTATGGCTGTTCAAATATCACATCAAAGAGTACATTTTTAATTCAGGCTCACAACCCCCCCCAAGTACCACATGTACCACACATGAATGCAAATCACTTCTTTCTCCACGCCCCTCCTCCTAATTGTCTTCCGTTGTGTGACAGGAGCTGAGTGTTATGGCAACACACCAAGTGATGTAACAGTAGGCTTTGATGCAGCGCTGCTTTTCTCTCTGCTGTGCCAGATGCCAGTAATAATGTTATGGTTTTATTTTATGTGTCGTTTGTATTCTAACCTGCATTGTGTGTGCCATCCTGTTCTTTTTAAACCTTTGTGATTCATATCAGCTCCTGCAACCTACTGCACTTTGGTGGATGTAGATTAAAGAAATTAAGTGCTCGCCTCCCATCTACAATATGCCTGTATGATCTTGTTTCACCACATTAATATTTCAGTGCATCGAAGCTCTTAGACAACTTTCTGCATTTTCCATGACCTCAGAGAATACAGCGATGTTAACTCTTGTTTCTGTACTATACACCCCCAACCTGATTCCTGAAGAGCTGTTGCTCAGTGCACCACAGAACACAGATACAAAGAACTATCAAAAACTATGACAGGACTGGGTTTTTATTATATGGTGTCTATACTTCTCAAATCAGCTCTGAAAAAAAGACAACTGAGATAGCGGTAACAAAAGATGATTCATACACCCCCACGTCAGCGGACAGGACAGTTACTGCAAAATAATCTATTGCTTCATTTTATTAAAAAGAAAAAAGAGAGAGAAAAAGACCAAAAATGTCAAAACAGAATTAACAAATGTTTCCTTTGAAACAAATGTAACACTGACGTAGGGTCTCTAATTGTGTTATTGGTTCATTTTAACACATTTTTGGTTCATTTGCTTTAAGAAGTTGTAATTTGTTCCAATATAGAAATTTTCCTATTGCATAATTTCATAAGAAGTGAAATGCAAGAGACTGATTCTGACATAAAATAATGTTGGAGTTAAAGTGCATTTTCGAATTCACAGTTCTTAGAATACTGGGAAATTTGTGTCATCTAGATATAAAAGATTAAAATCACTATTTAGTGATTGCAGAGAGCAAAACCTCAGGGTACTTGAACTGATTTAACCACTGACACAAGTTTTCTTTTCTTTTTTTTCTTTTTTTACCCATTTACTGAAAGATATTTCAATTAGAGTTATTTAATGGACATGGACATAATGTTTAGACTCTCAGCTTTCAATTGAGGGTATCCACATTCAAACCCGATGAAGGCTTTAGGAGTTTGAGCTCCTTAACATGTGCCACCATTTTTTTTTTTTTAAAGAACCAAAAGTATTTGGACAATTGACTCAAAGGCTATTTTATGGGCAGGTGTGGGTAATTCCTACGTTATGTCATTAATTATCAGTTAAGTTGTATCAGTTGTGATCCAAAGCATACCACATCTGTAAGGCACAGCAGAGGTAATGTGATGGCTTGGGCGTGCATGGCCAGTGGCACTGAAGACACTAGTGTTTAATGATGATATTCTGACATGTTCAGAGACATATTGTCTTATCAAATCAGCTACGTGCGGTCACACTGATTGGGCGGAGTTTTATAATAAAGATGGGCAATGACCCAAAACAACAGCCAAAGCAACCTGGGAGTTTATTAAAGCAAAGAAGTGGAATATTTTTGAATGGCGAAATAGGTCACCCGATTTTA